ATATGAAATAAATAAAATAAAGTTAAGCTCGTCGAAGCGAGCTAACATTTGGTGCCGTGACCGGTCTTCTTCTAATTACTCCATCGAAGAAGAACCAATTCGTCATATCTAATTCTGTACATCAGTGCATTCAACAACAAGACAAACCCTATTTGAAATTATGCACGGACGACAAATTACTCTTCCATTTAATCGACAAAATGAAATTATTTCGCTCGCACAAAATCCAGAGTACAGTAAAACAATTAGAACATATTTTGAAAATTTGGTAAATGAAGCTCGGAACAATATCACGAAAAAACAACAACAATATAAAGCTCGATATGATTTACATAGACAAGAATTAGTATTAAAAATTAATGATTTAGTTTTAATCAAAACAAGAAATATTAGAAATAAATTTGATATACGATATGAAGGTCCATTTAAAATTATTAAACAATTAGGACATAAAACATTCATTGTTCAACATGTAAAAAAATTAACATTAACAAGACAAGTGACAATGGATGTCATCGTTCCATTAGTGGACCGATGGAATTTAATTTAATAACACACATCCTCAAACAGAAGGGGAAAGATGTGGTATATGATAATATAAATAGTAAAGTATATGCATCAATAGGAGTCAAAAAAAAAAAAAAAAAAAAAAAAAAAACTATTATATGTATATTATAAAAATTATCATTCAAATTAATTCAAAATGATTGAATTCGATTCAGCAGTCCATGCCGGGGAGACAGAATTTCACCTTCTCACTGACAAGGAGGGCTGTCGAACTCAAAAATTAATTTTAATTGATTTTATTTTATGTATTTGTATGCATATTAGTCATCGGATCAATATATTATACGCGATGACTCATCCACCAATCACACTGCATTATAATCGAGGCACTTTTACAGTGTTGGCGCCATACTGTACAGTGCGAACAATAATGCACGTGTTCCAGATCGATAACTTTACTATAATCAAAACAAGAACATGATAAATACACATCTATCACATCAAAGATCATCGAAATCATTTACGCCTACTACAACAAAAAAAACCAAAAGCAATAACAACAACAAAACCAATAATTCATTACCATTAACAAATTTTACTGATTCAAAAACTGGTTTACAATTATCTTTGTTTATTAATTTAAAATTTAAACCGATGATGAATTTAAAATTTCAACTGCTATACGTGAGCTGATACTACAAAAACTAAATACTGTAATGATTATCTTCAACACATATATATATAAATTATTAAAATATATTTGATCTATTTTAAATTGTGATATGATGTTGACATAATTACAAACGACAATGATGGAACGTTATATGAAAATCAATCAACAACAATGGACACAATTATTAGTCTATTTATTTACAAAAGCCACAACATCATGTATGATTTTTATGATATATTATTTGAAAATGATTACGGATTAAAATTATATCAATTTGATTATCTTATTGTTGGCATACATTATTTAGTCGAACGAATCGATGAACTTAGCTTTAATGTGTGCGGACACACATCTATCATAAGAGGGGAGGAATGTTAACGGTAGCTCGCATTCTGTCTACCCTCGATTCTCTATCTCT